TTCTTCTACTAAATAAATACTAGTTATCTTTAATACCCTCAGAGAATTTGTTTCTTTTCGTGACCCTTGCAGCACTAGTTACACATTCCAAGTTTTATTTTTCAGGCTCAGAACATCCAAACAATAGTGCCTTGAACAAATACACCATTTTGTTGCTATTTATCAAGCTGAGAAGCAAAAAAGACTAGAAAATCGGTGTATCAGGATTCTTGACGCTGTTCCTGACTCTCAAGTATGCTTTTCTGTTGAATAAGCATTTGATTTACTATTTAAAATAATTCATATTGTTAGTTTATTAGAAGAAATTTTCTATTCCAGTGGGAACAGAACATTGAATTCGTTTTGTAGCGCACGTGCATGCGTGTCTGTGTTGAGATTTTTAGTAAATCAGCCTGTCTGTCTCACTAGCGCTTCAGACATACGCGCATGTCCGCACATCTGCTTTTCTAACAGCAAAAATCAATAGAACAGCGCGCTGTCATAGCTTAGATTCTATTTGTTAACTTGCCACAAGTGACAATGGTGGTATATGGGATGATTAATTACCATGCGTATCGCAACATTCAGAGCTTTCGGAACTATATTAGACCTTGGGTTCTAACACGTGGTATCGTATATCCATAGTGAGGACTAAAAGCGCACAAAATGGCTATTTATCACCCTATAAACTGGGGAAAAAATTTTTCACAAGTAGCAAGGTAAAGGGGTTGATAAATTATGCAAAATAATAAAATTTATGAATATGATAGGAATTGGAGTGAATCTACTTTAAGCAAATGTTATGGGAATATTTATGATTTAAAGGAGTGAGGCTACATCGCAGCGTCTAGAACCTATGTCTCTAGTCCAGTGAATTGATGACAGCAAACATCAAATGGGGTTCGACCCAAAAGTGATACTTGAATTCCTTATACGGGTGCCCAGGTCACTAGACCGACGTCAATTAGTGCACACTCTTAGATGGCAATAGCCAAACGAAATAGTTACCCGTGACTAACAAGGAAGAAGCCAATATACCCTAACTCTAATTGGGTAAAAGGTTGTTACCACTTTTCCGAAATTTTCTTAGGAAACAACTTTTGTAGGAATTTAGAAAGAATTCAGATACGAATTCTAGACACACCCAGTACGATAAAGTTACTTTGTCGTTTTTTTAAACAGACTGACAAAGTTTCCTTTTGGAAGTCGGTCTAGAACCAGCCGATCTGCAGTCAAGTATTGCTAATCCCGTCTGCACCTTACGAACAAGATAATCTAAACCGAAGACGCTCGATTTATGTACCTGCAGGAGAAATATTTCTAAGCCATTACTGCCATTCCTGCTTCCCATGACAAATCAGAATTAGGAAAAGCTGAGTGAAAAGGGACAAAAAGATGGTTCGATTGTGAATGAAACTGGTGACGGAAGTGCATAATTAGGGGCCTATCTCCACTTGCACTCCGAATAAATGGAATTCCACCTTCTCTTAAGGATGTCATCTTCTGTACAATTGCCTAAAACTATAAAATTTTAATTTCACAATTGGATCGAGAGGCGTATTTTTACGCCAACATTCGAAGGAAGCAAACTCATACCAACTTACTAGCCCCATCTGGCTGTCAAGAGTGGGCGATGTAAAATAATAAGAGACTAACTGGGTATACGGCATTACTAGTTTCCCACTTTTGAGCTTCAAGTATTCCTCATAATCATCCTGTGTAAATCATCCGATGCTTGGGTTAAGCACCTAGCACATCGCCTAAAGCACCACAAAGGGACACGAAAGCGCAAATACTTCCATATTCATGAGTAAACTTTATGAGCACTTAAACACCAAATTTAAAGACTCAAAAGAAAAAAGTTAAAAATTCTACAATTATTTTATTGGCGCTGGTTCACAGTTTTGTAGCATCGAAAAATTCGAGATTTTTGGTCCCAATAACCTTAGCTGAGTGTGGAACTCCTTTGGGGACCTCCAATGTGTCACCAGGTTCTAAGATGATTGACTTCCCGTACATATGAAATTCAAGTCTTCCATCGACAACAACATCCTTTTTATCTACATCATGAGTGTGGGTGCCGAATGTCATGCCAGCATTGAAAGTGTATGGGTAGGCGGAATAGCCCTAAACAATAGACATACAACTTGTGAATTACATTGATTGGAAGCACACTTCACATTTTAAAATGAGAAGATACCTGCTTCTCCAGTTTTTTCTTCATATTTTCGCGGTTAAGAATACCATCTGTAGCCTCATTCCAGTGATCGACAACGAATTCACCCATACTGAATTCTAAATAGTCAAAATCAATAGGCTATGAGATTAATAAACAGAGATGAAAGAAAGCGCAAAAACAGGGACAGACTGACGCAAATCGATGTCGAGCGGCAGAAAACAAAGGGTTTATATATTGATAGTTTTCTCACCTTGAATTCAATACAGCTAAATAAATCTAAAGCTTTTACAATTTTCTATTCTTTCACATTTAAAACATTAAACTTCATGATTTATATTAAAGTGATTATATTTATTATTTAATATCCGGATTAGTCTATTCAAATGTCTTAATATATCAAGCCATTACCTTAGTTGAAAGATCTAAAATGGTTGAAATCTCTACTACCGGAAGACAACTAATTATCTCTTGAGGAGATTTTCTTTTCCTTCTTCTCAATTCGTCGTATGCTTAAAGCAAGGCCACGAGTTATCAAAAAAAGGCTTTATTGTTGTAGCCTGAAACTGTTCTTAATAGCCAAGATGCGTCGCAAATAGGGATTTAAAGTAGACTGTACCATTTTACCTATCAAGATAGTCGGCTTTCCACTGCTTGACAATTTATCTCTTTGGGTACTTAGAGTAAAAAGAATTAAATGTGGGCTGAATCTTGAGAAGGAGGTTATATCGATGTTATTACCTAAGTGTAACGGTTATGCCGATACTTACATCTGCAATCCTTGATGTATAAAGCCTGTGGCTCTCGTTTTTTCAATTAATTTTGTTTTTGTATTGCGACCAAATAGAATACTTGGAATATGAGTAGATGTAGAGCATGATAAGCCAATAAATATGCAGGTAATCTAACTTAAATGGCTAGTATTCCGGGTTAAGATCCATCAAGCATAAAAACTAAGGGAAGCAAAACTAATTGAGCCCATACAGTTGGTTAGTGACTAATATAAATAAATATCTCCTTATTCATATAAATTAATATAATAAACGTGGTCAAATTGAGGATCGGAGGATATCAATCCTACCCAAAGGGAGTGCATTAAATAGGCAGTTTCTGCAAACCCAAAGGCTACAGCCTATATGGCATTTGTACATATAAAATTTAATCGGATTCCAGAACTTCTATATCAAAGATGAAATATAGTTAGTCAGATATTTGATTGAAAGTATTCTGTCCTCATAACCAGGTTGAAGCATATCTGGTGGTAGATTGATTGGTTGAACGAATGATAATCAACAACGCTGATGACTCTTAATCAGCATTCGCAATTGTCAGGTCGTTCTTCATTGTTTCAAGTCCAGTTTTGCTGACGGCCAAACGAAATAGTTAAACCGTCCCAAGTAGTTGAAAAAGAATACCTCATGACAACGGCTGCAGAATTCTTTCCCTCTCCCCAAGTACTGTTAACAAATCAATATTTTCCTTGATGAGCTCGAGAGTTAAATAATAAGGATGTTAGGACGACTAATCGAAGATGTTCGTTAAGGGCGAGAGAAACTGACAATTTGTATCACTCATGCACTAAATTATTGATTATTGAATTCCACTTATCACATCTGAATACAAAAGGCCATCCGCAAAGACCTCATCACTGTTATTAGCCACTCATCTATCACCTATTTCAAGCCTGAATAAGTTGATTATTTTTTTTATAAAAAGTCGTTTAAATAACAAGTCTTTTCATTTCTTTTAATTTCAGCAATTTCAACATTATTAAAGAGCGATGAGTTGCAGACATTATTGTTAAGGGGGGAAGTGCATCTGCAGCCAGAATCGTGAATTATGGCATAAGGGAAGTTACCGGTAGGATAGGCAACAAATTATAAGCAATAAAAGAAAGCAACTACAGAAGTGGTAATTGGTGTCCATTTAATTTCGAAGAGAACAAGTTACTCATTCACTCCTAAATGAAGTAGATTTTTTGCCTCAATGATACTTTACATATTCAAAGTAATGCAATATACTCTATAAGCACATAAAATCTCGTGGATGAATTTTGATATAGAAAAGACTACTATGTACTAAAATAATGCCTTGTCAAATTTTTTTATTCACTTCGAGGCATTAAGACTACCTAGAATACCTTCAATTGCTAGTTATCAAGAGCCGACTTATGGTCTTGGGTGATCATTAATAGCATTCAATTTTCACCTAAGTTGTCAATACAGATTTATTCAACTTTGAGAAGAATAAATTGTAATCATAGCATAATGTTTGTTAATAGGCGTGGGCGATAGACTTACCTCCACGCGGTGCACCCTGGGCAACGTATACTCATACAACAAAAAAGTCTATTAACCGGCAGTTGACTTCTAACTTCAAGCTACCATCACCACACTGTATGTCATATTCGTCTACTTCCGCAGTACTCATCTTTCCTTTTATCTTTTACATCTTTGTAACACACTTCCGTTCCCCCCCCCCCAACTTTTTTTCACTTTGTTGTCCCTCCTCCCCTCTGTGAAGCCTGAAGTCAACTAAAGGGTTAATGATAACTATCAAAACACCTGCCATTTGATATAAATAAATGTCTGTTAAGATTGGCACAACCGTTGCATTGGTACTAGGTGCTAGTATACCAGGCAATAACATAAATCCATACATTTTACTACCCATAAGCAGTCTGATAGACCAACCAAGCAACCGTGTACGCGCTGGTGGTTTCTAAACCTCAACTTGATAAACTGCTTTTCGAAATGCGAATATATTCAGGAAGCAAGTTAATGTTAGCTCGAAAAACGAGTCATTACATGAAAACGGTCAAAAACAAGCATATTAAATAGTCGGAATTTAGAAATGAGCAAGTGTTGAACTCTAAATGTCAGTTTTCCTTACATTCTCATGATTAGTAAACCGTTACCACTTATTCGATTAATAGAATGAAAAGTCAATTTAAATAGGATGAAGATTACTAAAAAAGACTAAAATCATTTGATAATGTAAGGCAAATAAAACTAACTTTGGCTGAGTTGCGTCTAGGAATAACCCCGAGGATCTTTAAAATTTCACGCAATTAAAAAAATAACAATAACATTAATAAATACATAAATCAAAATATGATTAAATTATGCACTGGCAACACGTTACTTAATCACACGTTGAAAGAAATATGGGAAGGACAATTAGTATCTAGAAGCATCAAGGAAGCCAACATCTTCATCTCCAACCACATGAGCAGCGTGGACAGTGTTCTTGGGGACAAAAATGGTATCTCCAGCTGAAAGAACAACTGTCTTCCCATGCATGGTGAAGGAGAATTTGCCAGCAGTTATAGCATCTTTCTTATCCACGTTATGGGTGTGGTTAGGAAAATCTGTGCCTGGAGAGAAGGTGTAGGGGATAACTGTGAAACCCTCTTTCTCCAACATAGCTTTCATTTTATTCGAAGAGAAAACGCCATCCTTCTTTTCGTCCCAGTGAGTGATTTGAAGGTCGCCCATCTGAAACAAGAGAGGCAGTCTCGTTCAAACCCACTCAGAGAGTTTGGTTTACGGAGAGAATACTGAAATTCATAGAAAAATATTTTATTTGCAGAGTGAAAATATAATAATAATTTAGTAGCCTGTTATTATAATACATTGAGGATCGATACCATGATCTTCTTGGATGTGTGAACTACGCAGTTCTGGTGATGAGAATGTTTTGGAGCAAGTTTTGAGGGGACAATTGAGCTAAATAAAAGTTGATTATAAAGCAATGTAAAAATACAGGAGATTTAAATGAACTAGGATGAGTAATTGTATTGTGGTCATCTAAATAACGTTGGCAAATAAAGCTCAAATTGCACTTTGAACAGGTAAATCGGTGTGTTGTAGAAAAATGAGTAGATATTGATCCAATATCATCTGCCCTTACAGAACATTTTGGTTCATCACATTCATAATCCTTCCTTATAAATTGAAAATGACAAAATTAGTAAACGAACCAAGCAACAAATTTTTGATGGTTACAATGAGGAGGCTCATGCTTTTCCATCCATTTATCTACATGCCTATTTATGTCTTTCGACATAGTAAGACTAAAATAGAATTGAACATAAGCACGTCCGTGACATACTACCAAGGTCGTGTTTTAGTTTGCAGAACATATTCATTTTCTTTAAGTTGATATTTTATTCTGCGATTTCATTTAAAACATGAATCACCAAAGAAAATCCTATATATAATTTTAGTACATTTTTTATATAATTATTTTTTGTGTAATTTTATAGCATGGAAGGAGAAAAATGGAAACAAAGTTTTCCCCATCGCTTTGATAAGTTTTTATTAGAACTAAGTCCATTATTTTTAAAATGGGCAATACGATATTCCGGGTTATATGAGTGACCTTTTTACATGACTATTTGCGGTTGATCTGATGGTTTTGATATATGTAGAAATTATCAAGGAAACGAGTATTCGATATTTTAGATAGTAACAGCTGATAAGATCAGTGCAATTTTTACTTAATCAAATAAAATCAAACCCTACGGAAATCCATTCCCATTAACAATTATTGATAACTGGAAGATCTGAAGAATCGAACAATAAACTTATTTTATTTTCTGACTTCAATTTCCTTCCCCCATATAAAATTTTAGAATGTCGAATTCTTAAACATATATTTAATTGAGTTCCTGAAATTTGTTCTCATTTAACTCAAAATTAATAGAACAAACTCAAATGGGAATTCGTGATTCTTTAGTCATCTTTTTAAAAGTTTGGGAGTGTTAACAAACTGTCAGAAGCGTTGTCTTTTTCCTCCAGATGCAAGTTGATATATGTTGGCATATTATAAGATGTCAGCTCTTCTCTGTTGTTGAAGAAGGGGGGTGAGAAGAAAATGACAGCTAATGCCCCTAAATTCAAAAATCGTTAAATTAATGCAGACTTATTTAAGTATTCAAAATTCACAACATACCGTCTTACCTGTTAAGCAAGCCGCCATGAAGAAACATAAACAGATGCGATCCGATATCATAGCCAAACGCAACCAATCTTCCTCATACTACAAGTAACTTATTTGTCCAGTAAGTTAATATGTCAACTCCATTAAATTTTATAAACGAGGTAAGGGGACATTATATTTTCTTAGGTTATATTAACTATTGAGCTCCGATAAACTGGGATGTATCTGTTTCTGACATTCTTTTTTTGCCCACTCCTCAAAAAATCGTAACTATTTTAACTATTTAGATGTTTTCCGATGAAAGAAGTTTCGAATTAACCCAAAAGGGTTGTATTTTAATTGGTGACCTCGGTAACAATCCCATGATATATGAAATCTAAAAAATTAATAGTCTTACTTAACTATTAGCTTTAATTGATATTGCCAATTGCTTAAACTTTGGAATGCGAATAAATTATCACGTAAAATAAAAACTAAAAAATTGAATTGCGAAGTTTAGTCATGCTACTAACAATAAAATGAAATAAAAACAAATTTACCCTTTTTCTCTCCTCATACTTTGAGAAATGTTCAGCTAAGGTTCGCAGATTATGAATAAACTTCAGGAGACGTTGTTCCGCTGACGATGCATCCATCGATCTATCGATTTCTCCTTTCTTACCTAATGACATTGGCCACAATTGGCTCTTATCCTCTTTAGCCTAATTGAAGGATAAAAGTTACATTAAATGGATCATGTAATATTTAAGATGCAAAATATCCTATTGCTGGCATCAAGCTGCATACCAAGCTTGTATCAGCCTGACAGGATGTTAAAAATTTGTGATTTAAATTCATCGGCGTCGTTCATTATGCACCAGCAAATTGATTATTACCCTTTCAATCTCTCATCACTGACTACGGTCTCAGCAGTGTTGTAGTATTAGCTAACTGAGTAGTAAATCATTTCTCTTCTACTCAAAGCAGTGTAGCCAGCTATGATTTCCTAATTAAGGAAGTTCTATCTCAAATCTACTGAGATACATTTCATGACACATTATATGCAAGGATTGATATTACTTTCCCATGATCAAAGAACGCAAGCTCTATTACTCTTGTAGTGTTTTAGAGAGAAATTATCAAGTTGAACTTTAAACCAGCGCAAATTTAAATAATAGCATAGTGTTACCTCTAGCCTCATTTCAATTCATGATAATCAATATGTTTGAGTTTTGAATGGATCAATCCCAGCTTCAATAGACCTGTGACCCCATGGGACATAGTCAAACTTGAACTAACTACCAAATTTAGTTTATTCATATAAATAGCTTACCGTGGATTTACTTGGTGGTTCCAATCCAATTAGCTTCAGTAATTTCCTCCCAATTCGTCCATTACCAAAGTTAGGGGCTGGTTTATTCGGAGTTCTATGGTGCAAATTAAGCACAAATATCGTTTTCAGAATAGACAGTGAAACGAGTCCCATCGTAAATAAAAGATACTTTCCAATCAGCGGCATAGCTAAACCCGTTGGGGGAATCGATTCAGCCAGTAGGAGCAGAAAAACCTGGGTGGTTGAAAGGGCTTATGACATTCTGACTTCATACCTATTAGTTTTAAAAAAGGGAACCGACTCACCGTTAGACCGAGTAGGACATTAATCGACAGGGCAATCTTCCCTCCACTCTGCGATGGCAGATAGAAGACCAGAATTGTTAAAAAGGCAATGCCAACGCAGGGTATGATTAAATTTATGGTATAGAAGAGAGTTTTTCTTCGGAGGGCCAATTTGAAGGTAACATCAATAAAGGGGTCTGCACAACAAGTGTAATATTCAGCACGACGTATTGCAGAGACTTCAAGAAGCTCAAACTCAACTGAGGGATAAAAGTCCTTTAAATTTACGGCATGATCAATGTGGACATTGCCCTCGTGTTCTGGAATACGCTTCTGTGTTATATGCTTCAGACTAACTGAAATAAATAGTGTTTTATAATATTTAATAGAAGATAATTAAGCTGACCGATTTAAACGAACCTTGATTGCCATTATATGTCCAAGATCCGAATTTCATGAAACACTCCTGAATATCATAGGGAAAATACTGAACATTGATTGGACAAGAGCTCTTAAATATGGCCGGAGGTGTCCATCTAATTGTACCATTATAGTAGACAATTGCTTTTGTCATTATATCGATCACATAATTGCCATCGGCGCTGAAGACGATAAAACCTAATATTTTTACGTGCTGTTATTTAAAACAAACAAGTGAAGAACTCGTAATTTTCTTCAATTTAGTTCATTTTAAATCCATTTAAAATTAATTGAGGCAATAATTAGAGACGAAAAGTCAGCCGTAAAATAGACAATTAAAACTACTGGAATAGAGCTTACTTATTATACAACAGTAGATCAGGCAACCATAAAAGTTCTGAAGGAATAAATAGGGCTGTAACTCCTCCAAAATCTTTAGGTTCCCAAACCAACTTAGAATCTGTCCACTCCAATTCAACCCAGACGTTAGTAGTAAGAATTTGATTGACTTCATCCTAAAAGGGAAACGCCAGAGTTTATTTTAAACCAAAGGCTACTTATATTTCTAATAAGTAGCATGTGCAAATTGTACTAAGTCCATTAACTGCAGAAGTCCCAATCCGAAGAAAACGGTGAGAGTATCATTGGCATTAGCAACTGGTCTAAGAATCTTATTATAGCCTTGTTGATTTATGAGAACATCGTATAGACGGCTAGCCTCCTTATAGCTAAAAGTACCTGTAATAAATTATATTTACTAATAAGTGTCAAAGGAAACCTTGCAATCCACACATAAGGATGGCAACAAGGAATCTCAAGTAAACCATGTTGCCTAGAGCAACCTATTTTCATTAAATTTAGTAAAATAAATGGATTTCTTACCAAGTTTAAAATCGTCCTGTGATTGGCCGAACAGCAAACCAATGATTAATATAGACCATTCATGTCCCTTTCTGCTCGTTTAAGATATCAACCAATCCAAGCCTGCTATTGATTTAAAGCTTTAAAGGAGTATGAATTATTCTCAGAATAAGTATATTTAATGATGATGAAGAGATTACTTACTGACCGAAAAGGAATTAAAACAGGGGGAGATAATGAGGCTGAAAACAAATTCACCTGATCAAAGGTCTATTACTTGGTTAAACTTTCATTATCTAAGTTAAACACACACATACACACACACACACACACACACACACACACACACACACACACACCTGAATTAATCAAAGTCCCTGTGTAACCGAAACTCAATTACCCTAAATTTATGTATATAACATACTTTTTAACTAAGTGAAATAAATTTTTTTTATTTTCTTACAAGTTTCGACCAAATGGGGCATTTTATTGTCAAGAAATCATTAGTATTTGTCTTGCTGCCGAGTTCAAAAGAAGCGAAAAATTTACTAAACCAAAATATCGACAAATTCTTTATTCGAATTTGTTAATTCGAACTACAATTTAAAGCTACATATGATGAGATTTCTTTTAGTAGCACTTTAACATAACCATCTTGGGAGCGTTTCTTTTGGTATGAAATGACTTTAATTTTAGCTATAATTTCACCTTAAATCTTTTAAATTCATTAATTCTAAAGTACTTGTAATAGAATTTAACCAATAATTACATTAAGACTTCATTGGGAAATAGTTTCACACTTTATTGTAATGTAAATAGACAAATGGAAGTTGTGGAATTCTAGTTTATCACTAATGGTAGGATGAAGAAAGTTAAAATCAGTGAATGGGGAGTAATATTCCAATAGTCATATTCGGTATTAGCATTTCTCCATCAAGGAACGAAGTCAAGTTTGCTATCTGTGGAAGATTTTTAGGTGTCAGCGGTTTATACGTATCCCACAACGTTTGTGACCCCAGCATTATGCTACAAGTGCCTGAAGAACAAAAAAGGATTTTAAAATGAAGGAATTAATCGAACTTACAAATCAAGGTTATCACGCTGAAAAACAGGAGATATAATCGATCCATTACCAATGCTATGAATTTCCACTCCTCTTTGATCTGAAACAGATAATAGTTATTAATAGATTAATAATAATAATAATAATAATAATAATAATAATAATAAGATTTTGTTATTTTTACTGTCTGTCTAATCTTATTAACATCTCATTTACCAAAATCAGATATAGGATGGTTTTGTCATAATTGTTCGAATAATTTGTTTTGCACATCGAAAGTAGGTATAGGTCTCCTTGAAAAAAATTCTGATTATTTTTAAAATGAAATAAATCATAAAATTAGCCTTTAAAGGTAGCTAACACCTCTCCCAAAGTGATTACAGGGTGACACCATACAATGGTATTGAAATGTCGAAATTTTCATGAAAGTGTGAAATCATCAGCGCATTGTGAAGATCAAAAATCCTTTGCTCAGTAGTGACCAATCAAACAGTATTATGTGCTCAAATTGGTGCAAAGGCCCCCTTGAACCGTCATGCAGAACTCGAAATGGAATGAAATACCAAATACGCCAATAAATACCATTACTCAATTTGAATTTTAAGTTAAAATGTCTATTTCAGTTTCATAGCAAGTGGTAATTTTAAAGTACGATGTTATTTGGCAAATTATAGTAAATAGGACAAATGAAAATCTAATCAATGATTCTTGGCCTGGGCTTAAAAATGGTCTCAGGCTCATTGGGACAGGGGTTACCAACACCTGACTTCAGAAGAGTGGGGGGGGGGAGGGGAGGGGAGTGGGGTGAACTTGCAGCCACTCTTATTAGGCACCTGAACTCCAACTAGTCTCTTGTTGACTCAAGGTAACTAGTGGAGGGGGAGGGGGGTGTTCAACACGTCACTGAATACGCATCGTTGGACGTCGATCGCGTAACCTCTGACTTTACAGAAGTGCATATTGATTTACTAATTCCGAACAGCCCACTTTGAAAAGCGTGTTCTAGAGCTTACCTTGAGCACCCTTGGTCATCATTGAGCCCGATTCTGCATTAGTCAAATTTGACTAATGTAGTTGATCATTTCAATCCCTGGGTATGTGCCCAGTGGGAAACGAATTCGTGAGCTCTGACATGGAAAAGGAGTACATTGAAATACTACTTGCACTAATTTTTCCCGATTGTATTCAATGTAAACAATAATAAAAGTTATAAAATGCACAATTGGATCAAGAAAGGCCACTGTTGCTGCTAGAGGGGTGAATTTGTACCGCCTGACAGATTTTTTACTCAATTCAATTAAGTATTCCAACATACGTTGCATTCTCTTTCAATGCTCTTGAGTTGGTGTTCAATGAATTGTGATCCCTCTGCCACTTGATGTAGTTTATATCTCATCCGAAGTTGGGTCTCATCGCTGCATTGTTCAATAAGTTGGCGAGTAATCTGACAAGCCAACGGGTTGTACTCCGTCTCTTGGGTACGCGATGGGAATCCTTTTGACTTGCATTTTGTCAGGCCATTTCTATCCACTGCCCATTCATTCTTGATTGTATCGAGTTCTAACTGATCGTTTGACGACTTCATCTATGTAGAAAGTATAAATTAAATCCATTCAAGTAGCAGAAAATTACTTAAAGCATTAAAAATAGTGACAATTAGGATATAATTATCCAATCCTAGTTGAGGTAACAGACCCCAAAGAAACATCTATTTATTTCTATTAAACCAATAAAACTCTGTCAATATCAATTAAGGCTTTAATTAATGAAATTAAAGACAAAAACCAGCTTGTCCTTTTTTTCTTATTTAAAGTCTCGCGAGTTCTTTAAAAGGGATGCTTTTTTGCTTGGAAGACAGGAACTTTAGGAAATTAGATTTGCATGCTTCAATTGGCAGTTTAGATTTGATGCAAGAATTCAATTTATCTAAGTATCATTCAACCATTTGGCAAATTTGTCTAGCTCTTAAATCATTGAAATTGACGAATTTTGGCAAGTTTAAACTCAAACCATCATTAAAAATAACAAGATTTAGAAATTTTTAGAACAAGGTTGTTGAAGAATTGTTATAAATAAGAGAGAAGCTCACATTGTTCTTTTTATTCTAATTTTTCGGTAAATTGGCTTAAATGTGTTTGAGCAATATACAACATATATGCTTGATTGCAAAAACGATTGTGTTTACAAAGTAGTACATTCTAAGACGCGATTTAAAGATATTGACGTTAAAATACGCACAGTATTGTGTGTACTTTATTGCCCAAATTAATAGTTACCTTGCAAGGATTTCCGCCACTCTGATTTGGGGGTCTTAAACCCAAAAATGGAGGAATTATTTCCAGAAATATTCGTCTAAGCCACCAATTCGGAGTAGAATGTGTCTCCACCGATCTGAAATGAACATTCAGCACAACCACTGTCCAAAAAATCGATGAAGTAATTAGCACAATCGTAAATAGCAGGTACTTTCCCATCAACGGTACAGCAAGACTAGTTGCCGGCGCAGTTCCGGAAATTAGAAGTAGAAAGAAAAGTGTCAGTGCTAGGAGGGCGTTTATTGTCAGCGAGATCTTCTCTCGACAATCAGGGGGTAGAATGAAAGTCATCACGGCGAGAATAGCAACTCCAACACAGGGAAAGAGGAAATTGAAGGCGTAAAAGGTGTAACGTCGACGCATTCGCAGTCTGAAGGTAATTTCTGGATAGGGATGAATTGAATGCTGGTAGAAGTTATTTGCACAAATTGCAGAGAGGGAAGTAATGTCGTACTCAACGGTGCTTTCAAAATCATGGAGGTCTGCGGCGTAGTCTATGTATATTGGTCGATGGAGCTCGGGAGCAAATTTTTGAAGGTGATGGCGAAGTTCAACTACCAAAGATAAAAAGGAAATTACAAAATTTTAAAATATTTTCTGCGACTGTCTTCCCCAATTATGCGGAAACACCTATTCAATGTAAATATCTACGTAATAAAATATGCATCTCTTGGCGGAAATGTAAATGAAATGACGTCAACGTAATTTTTATTTGTCCCAAATATTTACTCAGCATATCTTCAATAATGTTGGTATTATAATTGCCATTTTGAACACCAACATTCTGGCTAATATTGAATGAGTGCCAATGCATAAATGAATATTAGCAGAAAGGGGTGTGTGATAGACTTACTTCCACGTGGTGCACCCTGAGCAATGTTTACTCATACGGCAAAAACGCCTATTATTCGGCAGTTGACTTCTGACTCCAAACTACCATCACTCCACTGTATGTCATATTCGACTACTTCCGCAGTACCTTTGTGTCTGTCAACTCTTCTGTTCCCCTCCCCCTCCCCCTCTCGACTTTTTTTCACTTTGATGTTCCTTCTTCTCTACGAAGCCTGAAGTCAACTAAAGGGCCTATGATGACTATCAAAATGCCTGCCATTTGATATAAATAAATATTAGCAGAAAACCAGATTGACTGAGGTGATACTATTGTAATTGCTTTGTTTGATTTTCAGGTAAATAAGCTCCAAAAGTTCACGGATCCAACCAATTTGAAGTACACATGCGCCTTCCAGTCCCTCTATGCAATGACCGCCAGCGTACTCCATTTAGTCCATTTATCACAATATGGCTTAATCTTCCCCAATACTAGCACCACCCTTTCACTTCAAACTCAACCCCCCCCCTCCACATTCACTTTTATCCCCCCCCCCCTCCAATTCACCTCTAATTGTCCGGTGCGTCTTTTCCCGACCCAATTCTTGATCTTCTCATTCATTAAGGAGGTTCGAAAGTTCTACTAGGAAATGCTAAGACAGATTTGGAATAGCTCCACAGTTATAGCTGCCTTATTGGCTAGCGCGCTGCCTTAAATTAGTAGGCGAATTGGGGTTATGTACTAAAAAATGGGAAATTCGGGAAGTTAAGTGATAAGGCAAAAACAAATCCACTAATAAATGTGTAGAATACATTAATAATTCTGATATAAGACCCTTTTGACACCCTGAATTTTATTCTGTACCTCTTTCAGATCCCCTTCACTACCCATTTTGAGTGCTTTATTGCTTCAGAGGCTCGTGCTAGAAAAAAATATATTTCCTCTGATGAGGGTAACATTAATGCTTTTCTCCAGCACTGAACACTGTCATTGATGCATAATGACGGTAATCGATTATGCTTGTTGTCTCGATTTAAGAAAATTACCTTTACTTCCATCGTACGTCCAGGAGCCAAATCTCATGGAGCAAGTTTGCTCATCGTGCGGAAAGTATTCCATATCAATTCTGCAGGCACTCAAATATAGAGCTGGTGGCATCCACCGCACAGTTCCATTGGAGAAAACCTCAGCTCGGGTCATCGTTGTTATCTCGTATTTGCCATTCACACTGAAAATGCCATAAAACGACTGTGATAAGATAATTAAATCGCATAATACGCATAATACTTCACAAGGCACTACACGTCTTACTTGTTATAAAGGACAATATCGGGCCTCCACAATTCTTCAGCGGGAATATGAATGGATTGAATATTTTCATATTTTTGGGGGTCCCATGACAAGAGAGGCTCTTGCCATTCCTGTTCTAGCCATACCAGAGTTCGCATCACTTCTTTTTGTTCATCCTAAACAGGGAAAACATAGAATTCTAAATTAAAAAAAAACTATTGAATTGGGAAAAATTATGAATAATTACCTTACTAATTGCTATATTGCAAATTTTGTTAATTGAAACTGTGTCTTATCTATCAAAAGGATCTTATTTTATTTCAGATCATTATTGATATTTCACAATGCTCAATAAGGGGTGAGGGCATTTTAATCTGCCAAGGAAACATACCACATCGATGAACTGGGAAGGTCTTAGACCGAGATAGACTATTGTTGGCCCATCTCCTGAAGCCCTCGGTCGAATCAACTTGTTATATCGCTTTGGAGAGAGCAATTCGTCATACAACTTTCTCTCTACCCTTATGGCGTCTGGAAATCGGTAAAACTTTGTTATTCAAGGCACAGACAATTTCTCCGTAATTGTCCCAATGAAAGTGAATAAACTATTGGGCACTGATAATGATACTTAGTTTTAATGAAATTAATAGGTTGATATAACTTTAGTATCGATGATGAGAAAACCAAATTTTGTAGAAAATTGTGGAAAACCTGCCGATATTCAGAATGTTAAACCAACCCGAAGAAATTCGAGATAGTATAGACACTTACTTGCTGATTGAGTCAAATATAGAAGAAAAATGATGAATTTGGAAAGAGGTGGTGGCATTTGTTCACTTTGAGTCTGTATTCTCGTTTTGTTTCATCGGACTGCGCAGGCCTTTGGTGGAATTAAGATTTGTGCGGATCTGATTGGCCAATTCGCTGCCATGAAGTGTTCTTAATAATTTGGAAAATATAACACTCTTATTGAATATCTCAACAAAGTGCCTTTGAAAGCTACTAGGTTAAAGTGGACCACTCTCTTTTAACTGATATTTCTTTGAATAAATGCATGAAGTTATGATTGATTTATTTTTAATAAAGCTAACTACGCAAAAATACTACTTTTTTGTGCCATGTCTTCTACTTAAATCTAATTAAGTAGAAACTTTTTATAAATTTAATAGCCATCTCGAAATTATTCACCGTACGTGGGCTTTGCTCACACCGACTCATCAATTGAAATTAAAAAAGTTTAAGACCGATCATCATGAATAAATACTAATCGTCAAGGTCTGTATATTGCAAAAAAAGATTTCGCTTCAATCCAGAGGACGGATCATGGTGTTCAAGGTTTGGAACGTGAACTATTCAGATAGCTAACACAGTCGTGCAACCCGAGTTACTTATTCAAAGAAATGGAAACTTTTCCACACTTGACTTTGCTCTCTGAATCTTCTAGATCTCCTCCTCAATTATCATTTGGTGGACTCTATTACCTGATTTCATTATTCATTTTTTAATACGGTCAATTTGAAGATCTTCTTAATGGAATAATTAAATTATAATATTATATTCAAAATATTTAAATAGGTCAAATATCTAATTTGAGAGAAATATGGTACCCACCACAGACACATCAAATTACGAACTCGTAAGTTAAGTTTTACGAATCAAACTGCCATTAGAATTAAAATCTAATGGATTTTGATCTTTCCACTAACGTTGACATCGAATTTCTAACTATTCATGTCCAAGTATCAAACTTATATTGTTAGTTCAAAAAAAACAAATAAGGATAGCAGAAAGTCACCCTTAATTTCTGTTCCGAGGAAAAATATAGTTGTTGACTGAGTCGTAGTATCTTTTCTGGAATAGCCTTGAAGAAAACCTATTTTTGCCATTTCTATATCCGAGACTATTGCGAGACAATTTAATAATTATTTATGATGAACTTTGAATTCTTTCATGGTTTTACTATTAGATCAAACATTTAAACAATCTGAAGGGTTAAACTAATTTCCATTTTGTTTCTAACACAACTGTTAGTTTCATTGAATTACTTAAAAGTGTTCATAATTAGTTAATCCCCTTAATGGAAGACTCTTCCCAAACTCTCCTAAGTCCGCATCCTGGTAACACAATTAAAGCTAATTTGTCATTCCAACCAATAGTTGCGCACCTATGTGTACTGAATCCAACCAATTGGATATCTTGGAAACTCAGCATAAGCATTTATATTTGCTCACTAACACAACCCCTGTTCCTTCTTTTACATCAAATTGCTGCGCACTTGATAATATCTCACCCGTTGCCCAAGAAATTGATCATTGGCTGGGTCGTGCTTCTTTCGTAACGTCACTGTTGGGCACTTTTGTGATGTTAGAAAAACATCTTGGCTGTAGTACTGCTTGGAGATCTACTTCTAATTCTATGATTATGTCCACTTTCGCTGGCACAATTCACTCAGGCACAGTAAGAGGGGACCAAGTAGAGATTACCTTACCCTATCGCCGCCTTTTAGCTTTCAAACAAAGTTAGTTGTAGGTGAATATAATTAATGACTGTTCGATAAAGAGGGAGATTTTTCTGGCTTAATATTCCAGGCCTTCAAAACCAACATGCATCCACCCCTTACTTTGATAGAGACCGCTTTGAGTGCATTACCCATCATCTGAAAATACACTGACTCTATGACTCTATATCGATTATACCTTGTCACTGTTTAAATGCTTTGTACTGCAGTGATTAAAGGTACTCTCTAAGTACGCACGACGGTAGCAGGAATGGATAAGAGGGTGCTGGAATCCAAAGTCATCGAATACGAAATTGCAGTCGATCTTGCTCGTATTCTGGAGATTTGAGCAAATTTAATTGCGTCTATTAATGAGTTAAAAGGTTAACTCGTAATTTTGCTAGCGTAGAAATAAGAGGAAGGTCACTATCGACTGACTCAATTCTAGAATCACGCTTTCTTCTGTTGTTGCAGGTTGTTTTGACAAGGATTTGCAGAATGAGATCTGACCAAATAGGACTGAAGCCAAAAAGTACCATCATTCCCACCGAAAGTTTGATCGTAATTTGAAATAAAGGATCAGATTCATCTCTCTTGAGGGCTTATGCCTATTTGCTATTGTGTCGATGGTCGAATTTATATTGAAACTTTAATCATTCTATTGGCAGAATTATAGTTCTCTCCCCCCCCCTCCCTCTCCTGAAGCAGAATGAGCACTTACTCATGCAGAAAGGGTGCTTCTCTTAGCTCAACACTAAATAAATAAGCTAAGTGTGCAGAACAAGTTGAACGCCCACCCCCAGCATATATATATATATATATATATATATATATATATATGTTCATTCTTGTTTTATGAGTGGGTCAGATGATTGTACAGTATTAAGCGTCTTTAAGATGTGTCAATTGCAAGTCCTCCGGAATTGAAATCTGCAGAGGCGTGGGTACTAAACTCTTCCGAATGACCCTATTGTCTCCTTGTGGGAACACATCGGCATCAAGTTAAACAATTTGACTACTACTTAACTACTACTTAGGCAGACAAAACAAAGCTAATTTGAAGGCAGGAGAAGATCAATCACAGCCAGACCGCCGTGTCTCAAGTGGCACGAAATGTTAGCTCGGTGATCACAATGAGTGTGTCTGAATCAAGTGACACAAGTGAGAGATGATATCATCGAACTGCTAAGTCGAATGTCACGTGATTAAGGTAGCGGT